CCGGATAATAAACAACTCCATCATATTCTGGAGTTATTGAATAGAATTTCAAATATATTTTCATTCCCTTGACAAATTTGGATACTTCTTTAATGAATATGTTATCAAACTTCGAAATTTCAATCAAATCTTTTCCTGAATATATCAAATCTATGAATCCATAGTCTTCCATAATTTTTATAAATGAAGGGTCTCCTCCTTCCATGACTGTTATTCCGAGATAAACATTATTCCCAGAGAAATGAAATATGAATCACTCATTTTTATTTCATAAGCAATTTTGACTATTTCGACATATTTTTCTTCTTTTGGATCTAAAGGGATTATATCTTCTTGATCTATGATGCTGATTGCTTTGGTATCTCTTTTATTCTGTTATTTCAAATTTATTTTTTGTTATACAAAATTCATATTCTTCTGAAATTAAGCTTATTTGTTTATTTGATTCTATTATTTTACTAATATCTTTACATTCTTTATAAACTTCAATATATAGTTTATTGGAAAAAAAATATTCTCATAATTAGAATTAGTAAATGTATATAAAGCTCTAAATTCTATAGTCATAATTTGATCACCTGGTTGCATGATACCATCTCTATGAAGTTTAAAATGTAGTTTTAAAACTTCATTAAAATTTCTATCTTTTAATGATACATAATATTTTAGATAACATGTAAACATAACTTTTTGATATGCTAAATTTCCTTCTGTTGTTTCTAAATGTCTATTTTTTAAATTTATTATTCTTCTATCATGTAAAGTTATAGTTAAAGGTGAATTTATCCCTTGTCTAAATAGTGATTTAAACATTATTTGTATTTCTACTAAATAAACATATTGGATTTTTTCACTTTATTTTTTACTAATATTTGTTAATAGTTCTTCAAATGTATTTTTTGTTAAAAGATTTAATTTATGTTGTCCATAAGTTGTCTTTACATCTATAGTTTTTTCTACTTTATGATATTCATTTATTACTATTCTTTCTCTTTTCTAAATTCTATCAAAGACTTCCCATTTTTCTATTTTTAAGTTTAAAGATAATTTTTGTAATTTTCTAAACTTGTTATTATCAAAAGTGACTTTTAATCCACATCATTCTATTCCTTCATATTCTTGTAAATTTAAGTTATTACTTTCTATTTCATCAATTTCTTTATTCAGATCCTGATTCATCCTCTGTTTCACTTATATATACTTATTGATTATAGTATTCTTCAATATCTGATATTTCATTTAATTTATCTTTTATTTATAAGTATTCTTTTTGTAATATTCTAACTTTCTTTTTATCACAATCAGGACTTATATGAACAAATTCTCCACAATTCCAACATTTACATTTGGTTTTATTTTTCTTTTTATTATTCTGTTGATTATATGAGTTATTTTTTCTTTTATAATATCTTCTTCTAAGTTTTATATAATTTTTATTAAAATTTCTAAAATTTTTAAACTTTTTATTTTTATATTTTATTTTATTAATTATTCTTTTATGATTACATCCCCATTGCACAAGGGTTTTCATATCTTCACAACATATTTTAGTTAATTTTCTTGATTTTTTCATTAATTGTTTTTGTTGACATATATATGCAAGCCTTTCAAATAAAATTTTTATTCTTGAACCTAAAATTCTAGGTATTACAATATTATCTCTAACATATTTTTCAAATTTTATTTTAAAATATATTCCCCATGAACTTGGTAACTTATTATAGTACATGTTTTGATATACTTCTTAATTTTCATTACTATAAAATTGAACATAATAATAATTTTTAAATTCACAAGTATATCTTTAATTTTACGCATATCACATATTGTTAAATTTATTAATTTTATTCTAGCATTATCTTTTTCTCTTATTGATTCCTCTTCAGCATTTTTTACCCAATTTTCTCCTAAAAATTCATCCGAAATATATTCTATTAATTTTTTTATACCTTGTCTATCTATCTTGATTATTTCTGTTTGTACATTTCTTTTTATTAATATTTTTGTATCGTTGTGTATTCCTTCCCACCCATTTCTAACATTTCCTTCAAAGGATGCTATTAAAAATCTATTATTCTTTCAGTATTTTCCCATGTGTCGTCTTTATTATATAAAAAGAATAATATCATTGAATCTGTCCAAGTTAATAAGGTTTTTTTAGTATCTATTTTACAATTTAAATATAGTTTTGTTCCTCCATGATTAATTGGTTTATCATAATTATTATTTAATTCAAACATATCTTTATATTTGTTTCCTTTAGGTGGTTGTCTATCTCTTATTTTATCATAAAATTGCCTATATGATTTATTATATATAGGTGCATAACTTTCATCTGTATCATATAATTCCTGTTTAGAGATTCTTGTTGGATTATGTCCTCCTCCAGTATTTATTAAAATTTAGTATTCACTTATATCAGTTAAACTTAATTGATCAAAATTTTCTATCAGCAAATCTAATTCTTCATTCATTTTTATCTTCTTTTTCTTCTACTTTTAATTTTCCTAATGATTTTTCTCTAGATTTTTCTTTTTTTCTAATATTTTTGGTAATATATTCTTTCTAAATTTATCATCCATACTTCCTGTTTTTATTACTATATTCTCTTTTTCTATATGTTTCTTTCCTATTCGAGTAATTTCTTTTTCTATACGTTTTTTTTATTATATATTTTCTTATCTTTATCTTTATTATTTTCTTTTAATTCTCTAATTTCAATTTTTAATATATTTATATCGTTTCTTTTTTTTTACTTCATTTCTTAAATTTTGTACATCATTTATCAATATTTTTATTAATGACTTTAATTCTTCCATATATTTACTTATTGACATATTAATTTTTTCTTATTTCTAACTCATAAGTTAATTTGCATCTTTTATCTTCCTTTTTATCTATTATTTTTCCAAATCTTCTCTCAACTGTATATGGATTTACTAATTCTTCTTTTACTACAATAAAATAATTGCTTTCAAGTCTTAATTTTTCACATCTTAATTTTATTAATTGTTTATTATTTGATATTGTCATTCCTTCTGATATTAACATTATATTTTATATTTCCTCTTGTATTTTTTCCATTTTTATAAGTAATTTATTTAATTTTAAATGTGTATTATTACTTGTACTCATACTTTTCTTTATAATATAAATTATTTTCTTCATCTTCATATATATTAATAACTTTTTCATATGTATATATATCTTTTGTTTTTTCTATTATTAATTTTTCTAATATTTGTTCCTTTATTTCTTTAGGCAGTTCTTTAATTATTGTTAGTATCATTATTTTTAATCTAGTATGAATAGGTTTTAAAAATATATAACTTCCTTTTTCTTCTTCTAAACGTCAATAATTATCTATTTTTCTTATTTTAATGTCTATGATCTCTATGACTCTGATACCAATAAAAGGGGTGCTACTTAGAGCTAACAAAAAAATCAAATTAAAAATATTAATCAAATAAAAACTATCAAATTTCAACTAGTATTTAAATTTAAGGACTAAAATAGAGGATTTTTATATTAAAGTGTCTTACTATGTAATATCTTAATAGAGGGCATTTTTGGTATGTATTTTGGAAAAGTGACACTTTTCTAAAAGCTATTTCTATGTATTTCCAGGGTTTAATGACAGGAGCTCCACCGACAGTTGAAACCTAGTTCGACGTTGGTAAAAAACATTCCGACACAATAAGGGAAATTTGTCCCGTCTTCCCAATTCAGGCACAACGCGGCAACGCCTCTGCCGACTCTCGTTTTTCCACTGAAAATTGAAATTATCTACAGTAATCTGGCTCACTAATTATAGTTAATTATTTTTGTCGTCATTTTTCGTCATTGAAAAAAACCGATTTTCCTCACTCTCTGAAAGCGAAATAACTATTTATCCAACTAAATCTTAGCGCCTTTTCTTCTTGTTCCTTTGAGCTCTATATCCATACTCAATTTCAAGCTCCTCATACACAACATTTCCGAGTTTTCTATTTCAGGTAACTTTCTTTTAGTCTGATTGATTTAATACATTGATTTTTCTCTTAAGATTTTGTGATACTTATTTGATTTGGAAGTAATGCAGTGAATTTTCGGCTATGTAAAACTGAAATGTTTTGAGGAAGTTAGTTGAAGAATTCGTGGTTTTACTGCTGCATGAGAGATCTATGAAACTTCAGCAGTTAAACGCTACAGAATTAGCTAGCATGTTGAAGACGGTTAGGACGGAGACACTTTAACAATGGTGTTTTAAATGAAATAAGAAGGGGAATTCACCTATGTATCAAAATCTGTTTTCCATTAACTTATTATGCTTACTAATTGCTATGTAAATCTTTCGGGACTCACTATGTAGGCCCGGCGTTGATGATATGTAAATTTGTATGCCAATGTTACTTCACATATGTCTAAACAGGCCCTTTATTGCTTCAGAATGAAATGTCTTTATTGTCTATTACAACCACTCCCAGGTGTCAAGGATTGCAGCGTTACTTAGCCCCTTGACACTATCGCAGCCGCAGTTTACCGCGGCCGCACATTGTAAATATTACTTCAAGTTTGAGTTGTAATTTTCTTTTCATTGTAATAGTTATTTCAGTTGTAAAATAGCTCTGATATTGGTAAATGTTTAGTATGATACCTCGTCTTTTAAACGTCTACTACTGTCACTTAGATTTTTGTTCAGAATGCTATTATAGGGGGTATTAGTCATTCAAAAATCTTTCAAGCTCACTGGTGTCTGCCCCCTGCACCAGCATTTGTAATTTTCTACTTTCATCAATTGTAATGTTCAGTTTTCATCAATCAATATTTAATTTACTTTCAATGTATTCAAATTCTCTATTGTAAGCTTTCTACAAAATTGCAATCAAATTTTTTTTCGTCCCGACGCGACCGAGAAAAGGTGGAAGGTAGTCTAGCGAAGCAGACTACTGCCGCACTGTGTCCCTTTCTGTACCAAGAAGAAAGGCACCCCGTGAAAGTTGGTATCAGAGTTGCGGCTCATGACCCTCGATAAGAAAGCTATGGATCCAATTACATCCCACACCACTGAAGTGGTAGAGCCTCAAAAGAAGGGTACTACGAAACAGCGCGCGGATGCGCTCGATGAGACAACTATTAGGTTGTGCTATGCTATGGAAGATCTCGAGGAAAAAGTAGAGATGGCCAAATCTGAGATTCGTGGATTACACATCCGATTGGATGAAAGTCAAAGCTTGCGCAGCAATGACTGAAGCTGCTGCAATCATTCTTGATCTGCAGGATGAAATGGAAGCGTTGAGAGCTCAATTGCGGGTACTCTAACGTGCGGTGGGCAATGGGCAAGCTCCCATACCCGAGTATGCTCCTAGACTCAGAATTCCTGAACCGTGTACCTACGGAGGGGCACGTGATGCAAAAGAAGTCGAAAACTTCTTGTTTGATATGGAACAGTACTTTCTAGCAGCTTTGATCGAAGACGAAGCTAGAAAGGTAACCATAGCTACCATGTATCTGGGTGGAGATGCAAAACTATGGTGGCGAACCAAATATGCTGACATTCAGGCCCATATGATTTGAATTGATTCTTGGGATCTCCTCAAGGAAGCGATTAGATCGCAGTTTTTCCCAGTAAATGTCAAGTATCAGGCTCGACGAACACTTCGAGACCTGAAACACACGAGCTCTATCAGGGAGTATGTGAAATCCTTCTCAAGGCATATGCTGAATATTCGAGCTATGTCGGAAAAGAATAAGCTCTTCACCTTTATGGGAGGGTTGAAACCGTGGACACGCACAGAACTTCAAAGAGAGAAGGTTACTGATTTGAGCACGGCCATGGGAGCCTCTAAATGCTTGAGCGACTACCAAACAGAATCTAAAAAAGATCGACCTTCGGGGAGTAATCAAGCAATTGGAGGTGGTAACAGATCTTACAGACCCAGCTCGAACCCAAATGGGGGAAAGCGTTACTCTTAGAATAGAGAAGGAGCCTATCAAAGCACCCGTGACTTTTAGGGAAACTATCATAATAGCCGTCAAGGAAATTTTAACGGCAGCAACAGTAACAACTGGAACAAAGGAAAAGCAACGGAGGGTCGAACTGATGCCACTCCTAAATTGAAGTGCTTTTTATGTGATGGACCTCATCGGGTGTCGGAGTGTCCTCAAAAGCGGATGGTGAATGCATATTGTCAGTTAGCAAGTGGCGGGTCAAGTTCAAAGCAAGAGGCCTCGCAGGCTAATTGTCATAATGAGACTGACTCTGAAGAGGATGAGGACGTAGTTGGGGCATTTTCACATCGGTGCAACACACTGTCGTATCGGGTTGCTGAAAAGGATGATGTCCCATTGAAAGAGATAAAGATGGAAGAAGCGAAGGCTCGAATTTATAGGGCCAAAGGCTTAATGTACATTGATGTAAAAATCAATGGGAAGCCAATCAGGGCTATCGCAGGTACTGGTGCTACCCACAACTACCTTGCATGTACCGAAGTAGAGCGGCTCGGACTTGTTCTAGAAAAGGGTAGTGGAAAAGTCAAAGCAATCAACTCCACTGCTCAACCAATAGCTGGAGTGGCGAAATCGATGTTGATTAAAGTAGGTCCTTTCGAGGGAAGGACAAATTTATCTGTAGTTCAGATGGATGATTTCAAGCTTATTCTAGGATTGGAATTTCTTCGGGATACTAAGACAGCAGTGTTGCCATATTCCGATTTGTTAATGATGATGGGTAATAAGCCGTGTGTCATCCCTTCACAGGTTGGGAGGATGGGCGAGAAGAGTATCTCAGTCATGCAATTTAGTAAGGGTTTCAAGAGAAATGAACCCTTTTTTTTGTGCACTCTTCGATTAGAGGAGATCAAAGAAGCAAATGGTCCTATTCCAAAACCAGTTAAAAGGCTTATTCGGGAATTTGAGGATATTATGCCGGAAGAATTACCGAAGAAATTACCACCAAGAAGGACGATTGATCATGAGATTGAACTTATTCCAGGTGCCAAACCTCTCGCCAGGGCACCATACCGTATGTCTCAGCTTGAGCTTGAAGAGCTTAGGAAGCAATTGGGGAAAATGTTGGAGAGTGGAATCATTGTGCTTGCGAAGTCGCTATACGAAGCTCCTGTATTGTTTCAGAAAAAGGCCAATGGTTCTTTTAGAATATGCTGCGACTATCGAACCTTGAACAAGATTACTGTAAAGAATAGCTATCATATCCCACTAGTTGCGGATTGCTTCGATCGACTGAGTCAGGCGAAGTATTACACAAAAATTGATCTTAGGTTTGGATACTGACAAGTTCGGATCAAGGAGGGAGACGAAGCAAAAACTACGGTGGTAACCAGATATGGAGCCTTTGAATTTAAAGTGATGCCTTTTGGTTTGACAAACGCTCCAGCAACATTTTGTACTATGATGAATCAGGTACTTCATGGGTTCTTAGATGATTTTGTCGTGGTGTACTTGGATGACATAGTACTCTACAGCGAGACATTGGAGGAACATGTCCAGCATGTGAGGCAAGTTTTTAATCGGCTACGAGAGAATGAACTTTATGCTAAGCCGTCTAAATGCTCATTTGTTCAGACATCTATCAGTTTCTTGGGTCACATCATTGAATAAGGTAAAATCCGCATGGATTCGAAGAAGATTATAGCGATCAAAGATTGACAACCATAAAAAATCGTACATGATGTACGTTCATTTCTTGGGTTATGCAATTACTATCGAAAATTTGTGAAAGGCTACTCAGAAATTGCACTGCCACTTACTGAATTGACAAAGAAGGATAAGGATTGGGATTGGTCATCCCAATGCCAAGCTGCTTTTGAAAGGTTGAAGAAGTCCATGTGGACGAACTCGGTTTTAGCCTTACCGGATATGGCTAAACCATTCGAAATTCATACAGATACTTCAGATTTTGCCCTTAGTGGAGTCTTCATGCAAGAAGGACATCCGGTAGCATATGAGAACCAGAAGCTAAATCAGACAGAACGTCGTTACTCGGCACATGAAAAGGAATTGTTAGCAGTTGTCCATTGTCTCAGAGGATGGCGTCACTATCTCCTTGGGTCTCCATTTATTGTGAAGACAGATAACACTGCAGTTAGTCACTTCATGTCCCAACCAAAACTATCGAGCAAACAGGCTCGTTGGCAGGAATTTCTTTCAGAGTTCAATTTTATGTTAGAGTGTCGTCCAGGCTCTAGTAATCACGTTGCTGATGCTCTTAGTCGACGGGCCGATTTAGCTGCCATCTGCTCTGTAGCTGCTCTTTCAGGGAGTGCAGTCTCCACGAACACTAGAGACCAAATTCGGGCACTTATGGAGAAGGACCCGGCTACCCAATATTTGGTCGACCTCATCAAGCAGGGTAAAACTCGAAAGTTCTGACTCGATGGGGAACTAGTGAAGACAAAGGGAGATCGCCTATATGTTCCTAAGGGTGGAGATCTGAGGAAATCACTAATTACAGAATGCCATGACACAATTTGGGCAGGGCATCCCGAAGAGGAACGCACTTGTGCACTACTGCAACGTGCATACTACTGGCCTCAAATGCGGGACGACATTGCAACATATGTAAAAACTTGTCTTATTTGTCAGCAAGATAAGGCAGATCATCAGAAAAATGCGGGCTTGCTGGAGCCCCTTTCAGTCCCAACCCGGCCATTCAAAAGTGTATCGATGGACTACATTATTGGGTTGCCAAAAGTTGAGGATTTTGGCACTATCATTGTCGTGGTGGACTGTCTATCAAAATATGCAACTTTCATTGCAGCGCCTAAGTTTGTATCTGCGGAAGAGACATCTCAACTCTTCTTCAACATATTGTCAAATACTGGGGGCTGCCTAAGGACATCGTCAATGATCGAGATCCTCGTTTCACCGGCATATTTTGGATTGAGTTGTTCAAACTTCTTGGTTCAATTTTGAGCATGAGTTCTAGTTTTCACCCACAATCTGATGGACAGATGGAGCGCTTCAATTCTATGCTAGAAGAATATCTTCAGCACTTTATCTCTACTTTGCAGAAAACTGGGTAAAACTTTTGGATACGGCCCAAATTTGCTTCAATGCCCAAAAGAGCTCTTCTACCAATAAGAGTCCTTTTGAGATTGTTATTGGCCAGCAACTGCTACTCCCTCATACAGTGGATATCGAACGAAGTACCAAGCCCCTCAAGCAAAGAACTTTTCTCAAAAGTGGAAACGAAATATTGAAATTGCTCGGAGTTATTTTGAGAAAGCTCAAAAACAGTATAAAAAGGCTGCAGACCTAAAGCGCCGTTTCATTGAATTCAATGTTGGAGATCTGGTAATGGTTAAGCTTCCCGATAGAAATGCTTACAAACCAACAAGAGGGAAGGACTCAAGATTGTCGCCAAAATACACCGGACCATTACCCATCGTGAAGAGGATTGGAAGAGTTGCATACAAAGTTGAACTCCCTTCATGGTGTAAAATCCACAAGGTCTTTCATGTTAGTGTGTTGAAGCCATACTTTGTAAATAAGGAGGACGCATCTAGAAATGAGCCAAAGCGACCTGTGTTTGAACTGAAGAAAGCTGGAAAGAAGGTTGCTGAAACTATTCTTGACCATCGAATTACTCGAGCTTCTAGAAAAGATCATCAGGAGTACTTGGTCAAATGGATGGGATGCAATAGCGAGGAGAATACTTGGGAAAGAGAAAAAGATCTCGGAGCCTTCAAACCATTAATTGAAGCATATCATGCATTGATGGCACCGAGGACGTCGCCAAAACAAATGGGGGAGAATGTCAAGGACTGCAGCTTTACTTAGCCACTGACACTATCGCAGCCGCAGTTTGCCCAACTTCAGCCGCACATTGTAAATATTACTTCAAGTTTGAGTTGTAATTTTCTTTTCATTGTAATAGTTATTTCAGTTGTAAAATAGCTCTGATATTGGTAAATGTTTAGTATGATACCTCGTCTTCTAAACGTCTACTACTGTCACTTAGATTTTTGTTCAGAATGCTATTATAGGGGGTATTAGTCATTCAAAAATCTTTCAAGCTCACTGATGTCTGCCCCTGCACCAGCATTTGTAATTTTCTGCTTTCATCAATTGTAATGTTCAGTTTTCATCAATCAATGTTTAATTTACTTTCAATGTATTCAAATTCTCTATTGTAAGCTTTCTACAAAATTGCAATCAAATTTTCTGTCGTCCCGACGCGACTGAGAAAAGGCGGAAGGTAGTCTAGCGGAGCAGACTACTGCCGCACGGTATCCCTTTCTGTACTAAGAAGAAAGGCACCCCGTGAAACCAGGTCTTGCCGGGTCATTATAACTGGACAACAATGTCTAGAAGGCCAAATATTGCTCGTTGCTTTGCGGACAATGGAAGCCTCCCTTTGGCGGGTTCGTTACATCCTAAATCACGGCCTTCTCCTTTATTTTCAGAAAAAAAAAGATTGACCCAAATCCTGAAGACCTCCACCGCCCGGCCCTTAGAGCATCGTGAAGGAGGTAAATCGCAGGATGTGCCCTAACAGGTCAGGGAACAAGAGCTTGCTTGTATACTGATGCCCACAAAGAATCTAATTCGATATCTCAGAAATCGTATCCTTACACTGCGGCTACCAGCAAAGTTGAGATTACCTCACTCATATCCTTTGCACCACTGGGATATGTCTTGGAGGGCACCATCTCCTTTATTTTCAATAGGACTTGTGGTTGTAGTAAATCTCTGAACATTTTTGTTTTTGCTTTTGTCAGTATTTTGAAAAAAATTTGAATTTACACGTAAAATTATTTTATTGGGGGAATATATAATTGAAAATGAGATTTTTATTTTAAAAATAAAAATTTTAGAGAATAAAGTTATTTTTTTTAATTATCTATTTAAGCCGATCCCCGCTGTCCACCGCCACTGGCCTGATCCAATCCCCCAGCTCTGAAGCACCAGAGCGCAACAGTGGGCTGGGTTCGCTCCGCTGCAGCCGCCATGGCCACAAGAGATCATTACTCAAGGAAACCACCTACCTCAGCCACTACACTGTCCACTTCTCGCCTCATTCTTGCTCTCCTCTGCCTCGCGTCTCTCTTCATCTGTTTCTCTCTCTTCAAATCCGACAACGTGCAATCTCCAGTGCTAAATCGCTCGGCGATGTCGAAGAATATTAACTATAAAAAGTGTAACTACACGGATGGTCGTTGGATCTACGATCTGACGGTTAGATCTCCGCCGCGATACGACCACACCTGCAAGGAGATTTACAAAGGGTGGAACTGCCTTGGCAGTAACAAGTCTAACGCCCTTGATATTGTCAAATGGCGCTGGAAACCTGATGGCTGTGATCTACCGCAGTTCGATCCTCTTAAATTTCTTCAAGACTTCAGAGACACCAATATTGGTAAATACTTGCACACTGCATTGCTGTAAATTTGTTTCCCGGTATATTTTCAGCTTATATACTGACGGAATCTGTTACTTGAAAATTTAAAATTTGAAGGAAAAATTATATTTGTACATCTTGGACATAGTGATGCACCAAAATGAGAGTAAATTATAATATTGCTACTTGTGTATTTTAATCTTAATTATGGAAATGTGGAAATTGAGCTCTCTTTGGGTTCTTGAAAAAAATACAGAAACAAAAAAGCTTAATTTTCCGTGTTAATCAGCTAGGAATCATTATTTGAAATCACAGGAAAAAATAATATATATTTATGAAGGCTGAAGCTCTGGTTTATCCCAATAAATATGGAAATAGAGAGATTTTTTTGTTAGTGTTCCATATGATTTTGGTATTTAGAAATAAGACGGCCATAGCAGTTTCGGCCTTTCTGAAGCTAGATACCGACCGTAGGAGCATGTTTTGGAACAAAATGCGGCATATGGAATCTGTACGTGTTAGTTGCTCTGGCTTTCTCTGTCTGCGAAGAACTGATATGGTGCAATGGAACCCTGTGGAATTACTTCATCATTGAAATCAAACCAAAGTATCTGATGATTTCACTAGATTTGTCATTCGAGTATAAAAAAGTTTGGGGTATTAATAATATTTAGGCTATGTTTGATCTCCATTATTTGTGAAAATGTGTATTGTCATTTTATTTTTTATCTATTATTATTATTTTTTTTTTTTTTGGGGGAAATGTGTGGTTAAAAAGTAGAAAAAAGTTTGGGTTTATGTGCGACATTATTTTATTGGGAGAATGTGTGATTGGAAATGAGTTTGGAGGAAAAAAATGAGTTTTAAAATAATGGGGCTCAAATGGGGTTACTTAATCCTGGATTCAGGGATTTTTTTGAATTTTTTTTTCTTTGGAGAAGACAATAACAGATGGTAAAATAGATGCAGTTACAAGCTTTTAGAACAACTGTCTTTTGATTCTTCTTGTAATATAATACATGTACAGGATTCAGATTTTAGAGAATATGCTTCTGTTTTACTATTTTTACAGTGCTACCTATAGACCTTATGGATCTTTAACAGTGCAGGATTTGTTGGGGACTCTTTGAACAGGAACATGTTTGTTTCACTTTTTTGTACTTTGAAAAGAGTGTCCAGCGAGGTGAAAAAGTGGCGTCCTGTTGGAGCTGACCGTGGCTTTACTTTTATTAGATACAACTTGACAATGGCATATCATCGAACAAATCTTCTGGCTCGTTATGGTAGGTAAGGTTAGTCTAATACTTGTCATTTGAGTTTTGAAGAAGAAGAGTGCATTCTAATAAAGTGGTCAACTATGTGCTTTGATGTAATTACATGTTTGTAACGTTTGTTTATTGTGTAATTTCACTACTCAATTCATCCTGCAAATATGGTGGTGGCATTTGGCAGAATTTATCCTGGCATATCCCTATTACAGATATTATTTATTGCATGCAGTAGTTTTTTATTGAATTGATGGCTCATTAGGGTACTTGTTAGATGCTGATTATTACATACAAAAATCTTTTGGCTGTTGTGCTCATTTTGCTTCTTGCTTTTATAGTTTTATTCATCCTTTAAATTTGTTGAATCTATTTTATTACTAAACTTTTAGGCTTTTAGGCTTCATTGGCCCTTGGCCTTCAGGAGGAACAACAAAGGGAAATGTATTCAAAATCAATTTACCTTACCCTTTTCAACAGCCAAATAGTATCTAAATCTGAAAATTCGTGAAATTCAGTTGTACTTGGTCATCTTTAAGAAATAAGGCCAGATTATGTTGATTGTATATTACTTACTCCTGTTTCTCCTGTGCGTGTAATAAGTCACGGAATCTTTGGCCCTTGATTATGAATTCGATTAATATATACTTTAGATGGGTAACTTTGTTTACATTTATTAAAAAATTTGAATGACAGTTGAATTATTTTCTATTCTGAGGATGCTATAAGTTTTATGTTAATAAATACTTAGAACAGTGATGAGTTATGTTCAATTAGGAATACCAGAATCAAAGATGTGTTATTCTGTCATTACAGATGGAGTAGCAAGATTTTATTAATTTTTTTCATTACGATTATTTATCTTTCTATTGAACTTCTTTGTGTTTATAATATATTGTAGGTGGACAGCTAGCAACAATGCTGGTGTGCTGGAATCACTAGGTTATAAGGAGGGTTACAGAGTAGATGTTGATATACCTGAAGGAACATGGGCAGAAGCTCCAAATTTCCATGATATTCTTATCTTCAACACAGGGCATTGGTAATTTTACTTTCGTCTGTGGACTTCTGTCATGTAGGCTGCTGTTGATTTTAGGATGCTACCTTCTATAGCTTTGTGGAAGTGAAATGGACCCTAGCAAGGATGGTAGTCAATTTTTTCTTGTTGCTCACAGTAGAATGCACCTGTTTGCTGAGATTCTCTTAGAATCTCTTAAAGCTGAAGAATCTTGTTTGGATTTTTGCACATTTGTCCTTTTCGCATGGCAGCATAATTGTGCTCCGGTGTTCTTTGGAAAATTGTATTGAAGAGTTATTTAGACTTCCAGAGTTCCAAATAAACCGAGTTGGGCATTGCTTGAACTCTGATTGTTTTGGTTATGTATTAGCTAAAATTAGATCTATGGCTCTGAAGATCCTAACATGAGTGCCTCAAGAAGTTTGCTAAATGATGTCTTTTCTACTCTGCTACAGTGACTTTACGTGCATTTTAGAAAGTGAGGGACCAGCGCGCTACTCAAATTAAATATTATTTACCAAGTGTTTTCCAACTATGGTTGCGATTTCGAAATGAATAACATTCTCATTTTGTTTCTTAGAGTTCCTTTTGATGAACTTTTTGTTGATGTCAATGTAATGTAGACATAGAACGGTTGTTTGCTGAAAATTAGCTTCTCTATTTTGGTTTTAGGTGGTGGGCTCCTTCAAAGTTTGACCCTATAAAATCCCCCATGCTTTTCTTTGAGAAGGGTATACCTGTGATGCCTCCAGCCCCACCTCATGTTGGTCTTGATATGGTATTATCACACATGGTACGGCTCCATTATTATCTCTTGTATTCTCTGTAAGATATGGCATGGCTCATAGCCGGATGATCTATTAAAAATATTAAGTTTGTTTTATATTCAGATTTTGCCAAGACTTGTACTTGTTTAATTTATGTCTCTGATCAGAATAGATGCTCAACAATTTCTTTTGTTCTTATTTCCCTTCTGTTTAGTTACATATCTGCACTTTGGAAAGTTAAAATCCATCTACCTGGCTGTTATGCTATATTTTCCAAACTAGATATCATTTGTGGGGAAAAAGGCTCGACCAGGTGCAATCTTAATTTTTCGAACACAATCTCCAAGACATTTCGAAGGAGGTGACTGGGACCAAGGTGGTTCCTGTTCTCGTTTACAGCCTCTTGCTCCTCAAGAAGTAAGCTCTTATCATGCTGCTTTTTAATTTCATGAATTTTTATGAATGAAAAATAATCCACGTCCACACTGAAGTATTCATGATGGTTTTGTCATTTTTAGCTAACCCTAAAATGTTTTCTTGCAAGTAAATAAGTAAGCTTCAAAATATGACCATAAGGTAGGACTTGCTTTCAAGTAAACAGCTTTTTTTCCTTGGGAGTTCAAAAAATTTAACTCATCCAAGCATGAATGAGAAGTAAAAGGTTTATCTTTTTAAAGCTTAGCCGAACAGGCTCGCTCGCTTTTAGTAACATGTAATTGAATTAGGTTTTATGTTTGGTTCAATTTTCAGGTACAGGAATTTTTCTCTCTGAAAAATAATGGAACGAATATGGAAGCAAGACTCGTGAACCAACACCTGTATAAAGCGCTGAAAGGTTCTGTGTTTCACATATTGGATATAACACGGATGAGTGAATATAGAGCTGATGCCCATCCATCTGCAGCCGGTGGGAAAAAACACGATGACTGCATGCATTGGTGTTTACCTGGACTTACAGATACTTGGAATGACTTGTTTATGTCACATCTAAACGACTTTAAGGTTAGGAACTAAAATGTTTTGTTTGTATTGTGATCTCTTTGATTTTAATAGGATTTTATGTCACCGTCTCTGGATGATTATATGATACACATTACAGAGATAAACGAAAGAGGATAAGTCTTGGTGTACATAAAACATGTACATAGAGGTTTCCACGCGTGGGTTCCATCCCATGTGAGGGGTATGAACAATCTTATGTACCCAAATTATGTACATCAAGCACAGTCCAACTAAAAAACATAGGGCACGGGTAAAAACCCGAAAATTGGGATCTTTAGACAAGCAACCAATTTTCTTTATTTATTTATTTTCTTGGGGTCTTTACACAAATAACCAATTTTTGTTTTTTGTTCCCTTCTTTAGTTTTTACTTAAAAAAAAAATAAAAAATTTAAGGATTAAAGAACATATTCAAGAGGCTCTTTACCTATAAAAAGCATCATTAAATTTAGGAAGTCAAAATTTTTATGCTCTTTATTTTGACTCTTCATTTTGCTTTTCTCAAAAAATATTTATTGATTTATTTTCATGTTTTATTTAAATTAGTTTTTTTTATAGAATTAATCTAGTGGTACATAATGTGGTGTACTTAAGGTTGTACACCCCCTCACACAAGATGTGGGGTCCACCCGAATAAGTGTTTTTTTATTCGAGCGGATCACATATCTCATGTGAGAGAGGTGTGCACGCTTAGGTACACTATTATGTTCCACTAGCGCCATCGTTTTTTATATGTCAATTGTCAACAATACTATATATGGGGCGTTTTCCTCAACAACGTAGCACATAAAAGCAGGTCTTCGAAGGACAACATGGATACTATGATTCAGGAAATAAAGAAATGTCTGGAATTTTGCTGGGATTGACAAGTGGTTAAACTCTGTCAATAGCATTTTAATGCGTTTGAAACAAAAGGTTGATGTTTAAATTTCAATCATGCTCGGTGAGGTGTTATTTTTTACCGGAATGATAGCTAATGGGACATCAAGAAGGGGACACTACACATGAGAAAATGCTATTTGTACATTATCATTAATATAGATTGATGAGGTGGCAATAAATTGAACTAAAATTGTCAAAATCTATTCACCACTCAAAGGGTTATAATGTGATTAATGAAAAAAGTGAGGATTTTTTATTGATTAATTTTTGGTTGGTGAAATTTTGATTTAGTCAAATATTGCCACATCATTTATTGGTAAACAAATCTGTAAGTTGTGATGTATATATAGGGATGAGAAAGTTCTTTGTCCTCGATCTGCCCTACAGTGTTCCACCCAAACGAGGAGCGAAATTCTCGTCCAACAGGTGGGGAAAGGGGACCATATCTTTCAAAATCGATACATGAGTTGTAGGCTTTATTTTGATAAGATCTTGTTGTTCTCATTGGGATATATCTAGATCCTGAAAAATAAGAATAATGATGTGTTTGATGCATATTGAATTGGACCACATAGATGACTTATTCATTACCGCTATATATAAGACTACTTAATCATTGAATAAGTCACCCAAAATTTGAATAATGTAAATTTCATTGCTGGCTCAAACACTTGAGATACCAATAAGTGAAATCTTGATTGGAAAATCGATTTCAGTGATTTAGGAATTGGGGTGAAACGATTTTAGACAATATACTTGCAATAGAAATCGAATGAACTAAAATTAATAGATGAGTCTAGATGTCATCTATTGAAACTCGAGTTTTGTGAGTTCATTTTGGCCCTTTTTTGACTCCAATATAGATGTAGGATTTAATTGGTCTACTATAATAAATCCAAGAAAGATTGTGCAAAATTAAATATTGTCCTAATTCTGAGAATTTAAATCTGCCACTTAAGGGACTTTGTTCAACGATCTAGGGTTTTGCAAATTTCATATTTCCTAAAAGAGGCATTCAAGAGATTATAGCTAAACATCAACAAACACCCAATCAAAAAAAAATAAAATACATTAACAAATTTCTTTTGTCACTGAAGTGTGATCGATTTCACGACAAGAAATTTTTAGTTTGAAATTTTAATGGTGAATGTGTTTCGGATGAGTCCAACTATGGATATCTGCGGACTATTCTTATATTTGATTGGTGCCAAAATAAAAGAGAACCAAAATTAAAATTCTTGTTTAATCAATTTGCATAAGATTAAAAATTTAATACATGCGATTTCATAATGTTATATGGTTTAATTACTCCCCAAAGGATTTTAAAATTATTGTAATATAATTTACATAGTACTAAAACGTCATTTAAAAACTTTATTGAATGCAAATCTTACAAAATATAACTTATGGTCGTGCTTCTAGTTTTTGAGCTAATCTTTCGGGTTAGTCTCAGCAGTCTGCACGGAGGACTTCGAAGAAGTAAGGCAACTAAAGACGAAAGGTAGAAAGGAACTTTTGACCGAACATTTACCACATTGACGACTTCGAGGGGGGAAAAAATGGATTCTTTTAAACAAAAATCTAACACATAATATATTTTTTTAATAAAAATAAGTAGACACAATACTTGAATATATATCATATAATTTGAAATTAATGATAGTCTTATTTAGAAGTTTCAAACTGCTAAAGAGACAAGATGGGTGGTTTTTTTTTTTTT